GAACAATGATAAATTGGAATGAAAACACTCCAAAATAAAATAGTAACATGTTTCGTTTGTGTGTGTGTGTGTGTGTGTCCGTGTGCGCGTGCGTGCGTGCGTGCGTGCGTGTGTGTGTGTGTGTGTGTGTGTGTAAAAAGAGTAAAAGTACAAAGTAAGTGGAAAAATTCAACGCAGGTATAGATAACCCAAATTTTAAGGGGTTAAGTAAGTAAACCAAGTATTCTTACTGTGTTACTTGACACCTCTGGCAAAACCTGAGATTTTAAATTACATGATGTCGATATGTTAAAATAAATCAAACCAGATATGTATCAAAATACAGAGTAGAATAAATCACTGAATAGCGATTTGAGACATGAATAAAATGAGCCCTAGAGAGTTACTTTTATTTGAGCACACAGGTCATTTTAAGCATAATTAAGTGTCAATATAATCTCTGTCAATATAGTCACAAATTATCCCCCTCATAAATCATGGAAAACATGTCATTTCGTAAAACACAAAATGATCTAGTCACCTGACCTCTGAAATGTGCCAAAGAGCATCATTTTAGGGGTTCGTAAACTACGTCCATGTTTGGGGCTTTCTGAGTGGAGTGGTCCTCTTGTCGACTACAACGTCACATCAGTGGTGTGTGTTAATGTGTTAATATATCCTTCAAACTATAGAAGAACAACTGAGTGGTTGCACTACTGAAACTGTAAGGTGTGGTGTTCTGTTTGTTGATGAAACTGGGGTGGAATGAAGGAATGAGTCTAGAAATAGAATGTGTGTGTGTTGTGAGAGCAGTGCACAATTGCTCACTCGCGGGGCTTATTGGAAACATTTCCAGCAGATGTGATATTAGTCTACTTTCAGCCATCAAATTTACAGTTGTGCCAGGCACACATCAAAGGAAACACTGTCAGTTATTCTGGAACGCCCTTGATGGAGCAGAAAGATTAGCCAAACTCCAAGACAAGCGTGTTCAGGCTTGTGTCGCAAATTTCAGAATCCGCCAGTTTTTTACGCTGAAACGCAGTTTATAAATCGAGGGCCGCTTGTCTTTGTAGTGTTTTCAATGCAATATAAATTGAAGGGATTTGGAAATCATTACGTTCTGTATTCATGTTTTACATGATTTCCCAGCTTTATTGGAAATGGGGCTTGAACAACTGTCATCAAAGTTTGACTTCTATTGAAATGTGCACAAGCAGTTTGTACTACAAATTCCGTAGCCAAAAACAAAAGACAGGCCAGGCCGAATTTTGTCCTGGAGTTGTATTTTAAACCTGTCTGATATATTTATGTAAAGCGTCACCAAATGTGGAACAATCACCCACTGAGAGCAGCGTGTTCTGTTTTATGACAGAGAGGATGAGTAAAAATACACCCAGCTCCTGGGAGACCGTCACTATGGCAGCAGTTACCATGGAGATAGCAAGGCTGCACCTGAAGTGTTGGCTGTCATGGGACCCTGAGGGTTTCACCCTCTCGTGCTGCTACTGATAGCACACATGCACATTCAACCACAGAACAGGTGCAAAAGACTATCCATCCATCCATCCATTTTCTAATTCGCCTATCCTCACAAGGGTCGCGGGCGTGCTGGAGCCTATCCCAGCTGTCTTCGGCCAGTAGGCGGGGGTCACCTTGAACCGGTTGCCAACCTATCGCAGGGCACACATTGACGAACAACCATCCACGCTCACTCTCACACCTCGGGACAATTTTGAGTGCCCAATCAACCTGCCATACATGTTTTTGGAATGTGGGAGGAAACAGGGGTACCCAGAGAAACCCTACGCAGGCACGGGGAGAACATGCAAACTCCACACAGGAAGGCCGGAGCCGGAATCGAACCTCGCACCGCTGCACTGTGAGGCAGATGTGCTAACCAGTTGTGCACCGTGCCGCTGCAAAAGACTAATTGAGGTGAAATTCAGAAGAGGGATGATGTGATGTTGGTTTGCTTGTGTGGGTATTTGATTTTGTTGGCTATGCGTGCGTAGCTAGCGAGCGTGCGCGGGTGGGTTGTGTTTGCATGCATGCTATCGGTTCTTGATGTCTCAGCACATTTGTGTTTTATTCATTGCTTTGAAATGCGCAAGATGTGTTTGTACATCCACATGTAGTACTGCCTCTGCAGTGTCCGTCTGCTCAGTCATCATGTTGCCATAGCAGCAAGAAGAGGCAACATAGCCAACCACACACTTTGCTGTTTCACTCCATTGCTGCTTATTTTCATCTTCTTCTTCAGATTTATTTATTTATTTATTGTGCTGGGCTTGGACTCATTCAGTTCACCGTATATTCAAATTGGGTAAATGTAATATTTCACAATATATCACAAATCTATACTAGCTGTCAGTTCACACATTAAAAAAATGGTGTGTTGAATTCATTCAATTTTATTTTGTCAAGTGGTTGCACGAAATAAAATCATCTGAATCCAGATACATTTTTAAAAAATAGATTATACATATACTGAAAAAAAGGTATCTAAATCCAGATGATTCCATTGTGTGCAGCCACTTGACAAAATAAGATTCAGTGAATTGAACACACTGTTTTTTTTCAGTGCACATGTGCGTCTCATTTTTACAAATTATTGACCAATCTAAAGTGTTGAAAATGGCTTGCTCTGTTTGACGTTGCAATGTTAATGGTTGAGCAAACATGCCGTTGAGGGGGTCTCTGTCCGAGCATTCCACCTGACACCAGCGAGAGTAAAATACAATTTTTAAGAGTGTCTTTTGTGTTCTGTGACCAACATGTTTCATCATCATGTAAGATGAAAATTATATTGCACCTTTGTTCCTTCCTGTTTGACAGTGCTTTGGCTTTTTCCTGGCAGGCGTCTATTATACCCGAACTGATTTTGTGCTGTGAAGGTGACTATTCCCAGTCTCCTCTCAATGGTGTCTCTGCCATTCACACCCGATTATTTGTCATTGTCATTGATGCTGACTTAGGAGCAGAATTCTAATTGTCTTTGCTTGAAAAAAGGTTGCGATTTTTAATCAACACCGCATTTGTATAGTGAAGCAATTGCTTCACAATCATTCGCTAATAAAGAAAAAAAATGCTCCACAGACTCAAATGCCATTGAAGTCAATGGGGTATTTTTAATTTGGTGTCGATATCAAAATTAGGAATGGCGTCAGGTTCTGCGCAATACTCAAGCAGACCCAAACAATTCGAGCAAGTTTTACAGGGTTTATGAAACAGAAAGAGCATGTCAATAAACACAATCCAGCAAAACCCAAGTCACAAAAGGTCAGAGTGAAAACAAAAATACTATCAAACCACTAAGGACTGCGGACAAAGTGCCATGGGAGGAATATGAAGGAACAGACCAAAACGGAGAACAAGAAATACCTACAAAAGGCAAGGACACTCGTACAAGCAGAACAAGACGAGACGAAGCTCGAGGGTATACAACATGCAGAAGCACAGGCCACAAGCAAGCAGCCGACATTAAGTTGGCATATTCCTCCTGTGAGTCCGAAATGTCCTGCTGATGATGTTTCCCGGAAGGTGTGACTCAGGAGACTCCACCCACTGCCGGAGTCCCCGGAAAATTGCAACAGAAATCAAACCAACAGAGGGTAGCAAGAAAACAGGATTGTGACCAAATTTTTTCCCCCCATACACTGAACTACTAAAACCTAAAACGGTGAAAACAGCCAAAGACCTCCAAAGTGTGCGGACTAAAAAAATAAAATCAACTGCTTTTTTCCTTTTCTTTTTTTTTTTTTTTTTAACCGACATTTGCAGACCTACTGCAAATTCTTGTTCATCTAATTATAAACTCTGAGCATGCCTGTAGAGTAGGATCTATTGATGATTAATGGTCCATCCCTCTAAAATAAATTGTCTTGCTGGATCTGCAGTCTTTTTTAAAAATCTGATTTAGCCAGATTTAAGACAAATGACAGGTCCTCACTCTGTTCAAGTTCATCTGTCTGTCACCCCAACTCATTGGTAATTGGACATGAGTGTGTTCAATAAAAAGATTATGCTGCATGTCTGTGAATGCTTGTCCCACGCGTCATTCCCTCTTTGATTAAGCTGTTCTCTGACATCAGGGTTTTCGTTTTTTTTTTTTTTTCTCATTCACAATGCAATGAACTCATCTCCTCTCTTTGACCCTCATGATGTCCAACTTGATTGCCTCCACATTAAACAAGACAGAGGTGGCTGCGGCCATAGTTCTTTCTTCTATTTATGAAAACAGGCTGGTCTTCATTGGAAAATATTAACCCTTTCGGGGACAGCGATTACTAGAGAGGACAGCTATTCAAATGTTGTTTTCTCTAATAATAATTCATCGTAATGTGACAGTTGTGCATCAACCACTACAATGGACCCTTATGTGTGTTGCCATCCAAGGTAAAAAAACAAATTTCGTGCCTAGAGCCTAATAAAAACACTTGCCTAATAAAAAAAAATGCTGGCGTAGGTTATCATTATTTGTGCATGAAAGGGTTAAGTAGCCTATGATTGCCAATTTTCTCTTGAAATTCACCAACAATGCATTTAAATAACATTTCCATTCAGCTTCTTAATTTTTAATGCGGTATAAAATGCATTTTATTGCATGCATTAAACATGCAATGGTGTGTGTTGTGGAGAAGGTCAAAGTTGCAACAGGAAGGCATTGTTGTACGGCCTTTCTTATGCATTTTAATTGTTCTTTGGAAGCAAATTGATTAAACTGGCCTGGACCAAAATGATGGCACCCTTAGCTCAGCATTTCGGTGTGTTTGACGTTAGATGTTCCATGCCGATAAATTATTGCAATTTAGAATAAAAATTCCTTCCGTTTAAGGATTGATTGCAGAAATTGTTTAATCTGAAGCCATGAACTCAGTCAGTTCTAAGAGCTATCAGCCCAGTGTGTGCTCTGCCGGTGACCAACGTCTGCGTGGCAAGGCTTCATGATCCTGAACAATACATGTGATATAAAAAGATGGAATTCAATGGCTGCTCCTCTTTTCTTTTTGCCCCTGTAGTACAGTGTCTGGAAATGACAACAAAAAGGAAGCTGATTGGCCGGCTGGTGCCATGCCGTTGTTTTCGTGGGGAAGAGGAAGTGATCTCGGTGTTGGACTACTCTCACTGCAGCCTGCAGCAGGTCCCCAAAGAAATCTTTAGCTTTGAGAGAACTCTGGAGGAGCTCTACCTGGATGCCAACCAGATTGAGGAACTACCCAAGGTAAATCTGAATATGAAAATGTATGATAGATCAATATTCTGAACTTCAAATTCGATTTTCAGCTCGAAATTTAAGTTTGCCTGCACCATCTGCTTTTTATTTATTTATTTATTTATTTATTTTTGTTGAGACAATCTAGTAGTAAATTCACAGTGTGTTCAGCTTTTCAACTCTCAGGAGCATTTCACACTGGCACCCTTTAGTCCTTCAGCAAACCATATTTTTTTTCTATTGATATGATTTGTTTAGTCTTCAGGTTTTTTTTTTTTTGGTAGGGTCCCAAATCATAATTATGGTGGGAAAGCAAACTGTCTTCATTCCAATCTGATGGGCGACTGATTGAAACTGCGTAAATGTTACTACCAGAAATGGCCAAAGTATTCACATTTTTTACTGAACTAGCAGTATTGATATTGGGATTAAAACGATTTGAATAGAAGTTGAACTATAAACTGCAGCTTTTTGTAGATGATTCGTGGTTTTCAAAGTACTTAAAGTATAAAAGTAAAAGTAATGCAAGGAGAATGCAACGAGAAAAACACATGCATTGAAGTCAAGTCAAGCATTGTTCAATGTACCTTGATAATCCAAACATGGTTTTCTTAATAATCTCATTTTCGTGGAATAATAATTAATCAGATGGATTCAGCCATCCCATTCTGTTTAATGACAAAAGGTTGGACCACATCACAAGGTCATGTTGTGCACGACCCCACCTCCCCTCAAAAACATTTTTTTAAGACGGCTATAATGATTATAATGTTATTTTAAAATGTTATGTTGACGGCTTTCCACAGTTCTCCAAGAGAGCTTGGAGCATTAAATCACAGCCTGTTGCTTGGCAGAAGACCATGGCATGTCTTGTACACAGCCATAGCAAACATAGCATATGTACTATTAGCTTACGCTAGTAGTTATTGCTGAGAGCAAATAAATTAAACTCATAACATTTGTCTGAAATTTAATTAATTCTCATAACCTTGACACCCCTTGATAATACATTTTCAGCTTACCTTCATTCACGATGCTTTTTCAACTCTGACAGCGAGTTTTTGAAATTAATTATCTGGTGGCACTGAAGTTTGATTTGCAAAGTTTTCCGTGCATTCAAAATCGGTACGACCGAGGATGTGTGATGGTTGGCAGGCTTGTCTGGCTATGAACCTCCTCGCTAGGTTGGGACACGGACAGTTGAACATCTTCCCGGGAAAGCTACTGGTCTGCGCTAGTTTAATTGATTTTATTGATGTGTTAATGTGCATCACGTGCAGGTGTTGAACATCGCATACAAACCAATAGCGTGTCGTAATGTTCCATGTTGATGCTTCTCATCCAACTACAATCAATATCACTCGATATCCAATTGGTGTTTTGAAAAATGATAAACTGAAATTAACACAACCCAAAATAAAATTGTAACAAGACTTTTTTTTGTACTTTGTTAAAGGAGTAGAAAGTACAGATATTTGCATAAAAATGAAAAGAGCAGAAGTACAAAGAAAAATAATTACTCCTTTCTACTATAGATAGGTATCCATAATTTCTACCTAAGTAAGGTAACAAAGTATTTTTAATTCATTACTCCCGTCCCAAAAATGGAACGTCCCGAATGGACCTACTCTTTCGTCCCATCGGTGGAATGCCCATTTCTGCTCGTAACATTTCGTCAAGCTTTGAACTTTTGAACAAGCCACTTATCATTTTGATTGAAAAAAAAATGTATTTGTTGGATTATGATGTGTTTTTCAGGAAAAGTACAATGAGTAACACATTTCTGTTGATTCGAAACTCGTTTGTTATTGTCAACACAAACAGCGAATGGGGATTTTGAGGTGCAAGTCCGAGCTGTACATTTATAACAATTTTGTACTTTCATTCCTTTCGGCATTTTTGTTGCCATTTTTCTATTCATAGTTCATATTCCAAAATAAGTTTCATTTATGCACACATAGTCCATTGCACTGGTTTCCACTTTATCCAGAGAAAACACAAGCTGTTTAATGGTATTCTGTAACACCAGGAGGCGTTTGACAAATTATTAAGTTTTTTAAATTTTTATTTTCCTTTGAAATAAAAATCAAGCTTTGTCTGTTTTACTAAATGTCATAATATTACTTGTTATTCTTCCTGTTTCTACAGCAACTCTTCAGCTGCCAGGCCTTAAAGAAGCTGAGCATGCCTGATAACGACCTCTCCAACCTTCCAACCACAATTGCCAGCCTGGTTAACCTCAAAGAGCTTGACATCAGTAAAAATGGTAACAACAAAACATAATATTAAACAAATTAAAACAATCTAGAACCACTGGTATAGGTGATGACACTCGGTGGTAATTTGTCAATTAACAATTTGATTTAAGATAAGAAAACCTTTATATATTATATATATATAAATGGGTGAGTCAGGGTGAATCCGGGTTTTCAGGTCCGTCTATTCGTTAGCCTGACAGCAGTCGGCAGGAACGAGTGGCGGTACCTCTCGTTCTTGCAGCGCGGGTGTATCAGTCTCTGGCTGAAGGAGCTGCGCAGTGCTGTCAGGGTGGGCTGGAGGGGGTGGGAGGGTCTGTCCATCATAGCTGTTAGCTTAGCTAGCATCCTCCTGTTGCCCACCTGCTCCAGAGTGTCCAGGGAGCAGCCCAGGACAGAGCTGGCCCTCCTGACCAGTCGGTCCAGTCTCTCTCTGTCCCGGGTTGAGATGCTGCCTGACCAGCAGACTATGCCATAATGAATGGCTGAGGCCACCACTAAAAGACTTAAAAGTCTGTAAAAAAATAAATATGTCTCGTAAATGTGAAACCAGAAAGAATGTTGTTAACAATACTTCCATATGTGATTCAATAAAAATAATGCAATGTATGCAATGTAAAATGAGGCTTGAAAAGTATGAAAAATGAAGCTGTTTGCTTTGCTCTCAAACACTGCGGGCGTGTCTGATGAATGCGCTGGAAAATGAAGTTTCATCACCAAATTCCGATCTCCAACGGTGCAGACTATAAATTCTGACAACTTTCTTGCATGCTTGTGACCCCAGTGACAATAAGTGGTTCAGAAAATGGATGGATGGATAGCAAACACTACGAGACGACACTGTCGTTCCAGTGATACTTGTTGGAGTAAAAATGTTGAAGTGTAGCTATGGTGAATTATCTTTTTAATTATTTACTTTTAGACAGGTTGGGGCGAGTTTCTCCTGTCATTTTTTTTTTCCTGTTTGCCGTCGTCAATCGGCAGCAAAAACCAGTGATGGATTTACACAGGGGTAGGGTGAAACACAGAAGTCACAGATTGATCATTAATTCCATCAAGGACTATGCTCATTCTCAAACAGGATTTTAATTGTGATTCTCTTCGTGTTTATCGAAACAGTTAACTACCATGGAGCAGTAAAACACGGTCTGGTTGATGTCTTTCTTCTTCTGTGTACATGAAATTGCTAAAGTTGTGACAGCTATGTCAATAATGAGCCTATGTTGTAGTGTGACAATATGTACCATATTTTCTGCACTACAAGAAACTTGGAATTATAAATCGCCTCTTCAATAAATGGCCGATTTTAAAACTGTTTTCATATGAAGCGCGCACTGCATTATAAGGCGCATACAGTAGTGGCTGCGGATGCGCTATGCATCCACTGGATGGTACTTCGCTAAAGGGAATACAATACAATACAATACAATACAATACAATACATCTTTATTTATATAGAGCCTTCACAACCCAATCTGCTGTAACAATGAAAACTGGTCACAAACACGGACATGAAACATAAATACAAATGACATCACGAAACAATAAATGAAAGACAAAAGTTATGAAGACAATTCATTCAACAAAAAGGCTCACATCCACAAGGGGCTAAATATCCTGAGAGTGTCTTGCTTGTCTCCTTCATTTAGTCAGTAGTTAACTATGTTTGCGGTATTATCTTCATTGCATAATGGCTGCGCAGAACTCAGAAAGTAGTTGTGTGTTTGAGTATGTGTTAGCGAATGCCCATGTAATTTAGTGTCGGGCAGAAGCCTTTCAGGTTACAATTGGGTCCTGCTCATAATCCCCACTAGATGGCAGAGGAACACAAACAGGGGAAACAACTCAACGGGGAATATAAAGTGAGTTACAGGCTCTTTATATTCGGTGCACTGTCGGCTTTTGAGAAAAATTTAATGCTTTTAGGTACACCTTATGTTGCGGAAAATACGGTAATTCAGAAATGGATAAAACAAAGGAAACATGACGGAACACAACAGTCGTTTTAAACAAGAAATAAAAACTGTTTTATCCTCTATGACATAGAGGATAAAACATAGAGTATATGTTGTACAGTAATGCCCTGTTGATTTTTTTTCTTCTCATGATATTTTTAGGTTCCAAATTGACAATCCTCTGTCGACGAATGGGTCTACACAAGTTTTTTTTTCGTTCCAGACCACAGTCCGTGCCCCAATGAGAGGGTGCCGATAAATTGGCCACTGTGGTCAAGATTTTGGGACCCTTTACAATTTAAACACACAAAAATGTGTGCCACAACTGAACTATCCTGATTAGAAGAAACTGTGACTTTTATTTCATTTTATATTCACGTTTATTTTATATTACCAGAGTGGCTTAAAAATAAATTCTACTTCTCCACCACTGGAACAGCTTAAGAGCAAAAAAGGCAATTCTATTTTTTCTTCAGCTTTAAAGATCTTGATTTTCGATACTGCCATAACTTTCTAATTTGGAAGACAGAGGAATTGGGAAGAAAGGGCGAGGGAATGAGCATCAGCATTTCGATTTTTCTCATAGATCCACAGTTATTTAAAAACTGCAATTAAAAACCACAGAATAACAAAAATTTTACAAATTTCAAACAATCAAACTCTTACACCATAAAACATGAAACTCTGAATCATGCATCACCAAAAAAGTTGTCTTGTCGTCAGCTCTTCCTCTCTCTGATCTTTTCTACCAGGTATCCAGGAATTTCCAGATAATATTAAATGCTGTAAAGGCCTGTCAGTGGTTGAGGCCAGTGTCAACCCCATCACCAAGTAAGACATCACCCGACATCTTGGAACAAACAATAAGATTTTCATGTTTGTGCTGTGATAATTTCACCTATTTGTTTGAAAGCAGGAGAACAACAATGTACAGCATTGTATCCTTGCATGGAAAATGTGTTTAGTATAACAGCAAATCTACTACAGAATTCGTATGAGCTCAAATAGTGACTTAAAAATGACATGCGTGCTCTCGTTTTTCCTTCCTTTGTACAGTGTACTGCATTTACAGTGCTTACTCGCGTCTTGCCTTCCAGGCTCCCAGATGGCTTCACGCAACTCCTGAATCTGACTCAGCTCTTCTTAAACGATGCCTTCCTGGAGTACTTGCCAGCTAACTTTGGCAGGTAATTCCATGCATGGTAATCAGCGTGGTGTGTTGTGATTGGCAGCCATTTTGGAAGGTATTTAATGTTCCAGTGGCTTTTTTTTTCGGTGTTTTTGGAATGATGCATTGGTTTGACATGCACACGTATCTAAGACGAAATGCCAGCGAATTTTGGTCATTCATCAGCGACGGACATGGAAGTCCATTGTTGTCAGTCGTCTTTATTTCAGGCTGACCTAGTCCATCACTCCATTATCGTTATTTTGAGCGTGCTTCTTTCATCACTAAATGACATTTCATCAAAATGATTTTAGGGCCGTCAGTAAAAAGCTAATTACAAGGGTAAGAACACACAATTTTATTCATTCAGAAACGGTTTGGACCAATTCACAAATAACAAAACAAAACAACAACAAAAAATTCTTAAACTATTACTGCTCCTCCTCTTGCTTCACGTCCACAAAGTGCTCCTCGTCTTTTTTTTCCTGTTCATGAAGGACGGCCGAAAATCGCTTCCGGTGGTGTATACAGCAGGGGTCCCCAGCCTTTTTTGCCCCACGGACCGGTTTAAGTCAGACAATATTTTCAGGGACCGGCATTTAAGGTGTGGCAGATTAATACAACAAAATAATATGGTATGAGCTGCATGAAAACTGTGGTGTTTTCGAAATATAATAATAAACACAAGGACCGTGTAATCTGGTCGCAACACTCTTATCGCTCTGGTAATGTTTCATGCCTTCAAAATACGATACAACGCAAATTCAAAGTGCATGAAAATGACGACTCACCACAGCCCCAAGCTTGATTTTCTGCAACCAGACGGTCCCATCTCGGGGTAATAGGAGACAATGACACCTCAAGTGTGTGGTTTATGTCCAGTCTACTTTGTAATTTTGTTTTAGTTGCACATTTGGGATCTCCAAGCAGCTTTTTTACTCATTTTGCGGGCTTCAGCGTTTTGTTTTTGAGCGTCATCGGTCGCGTGACCGAGAAGTGTGGCTTGACGTGAGTCAAGCGTGACACAGACGGATGTAACAGAGAATCCGGTAATTTTTCAAAATAAAACATCTTTCGTATTCCGAAATAAATAAAACGGAAATAAGGTAAGTTCTTTCTGTGCGGCCCGGAACCAAATGCCCTGCGGACCGGTACCGGTCCGCGGACCGACGGTTGGGGACCCCTGGTATACAGTATTCCGTCAGTGCCTCAAAGTTCCTGTCAGTTGTCAGTCCGCCAGTGAAAACCGGGGTCCATCAGTGACGGACTGACAGTCCTTCTGTCTAGTTTACATACTATTATTTATTCCATGTATGAATTTGGAGCATTTGCATTTCTTGCAACCTGACAGTACTGATACTGATGTAGGATTGAGCCTCTTTAGGTCTGATTCTCGCGTCTGTATTCAAGTTGCCCTCTGTTAACACTCAGGCTTTGATAATGTGTGTGACATGAAGATGTGAGATGGATGATGATTATTCAGTACCTTGGTGCGATACAATTGATGCCTGAAGTTCACATGCTGAGCTCCCAGTCAATGTTCTGGGGTTAAAATCTCAGCTCAGACCTTGATGCGTGGAATTTGCAAGTTAACTTGTGCCTAGGTACTCTTCTTTCCTTCCACAGTGCAAAAACATCATACTTTATCCATCCATTCATCCACCCCTCATCCGAACTGCTTATCCTCACAAGGTTTGCCGGGGTGCTGGAGCCTGTAGCTGCTGTCTTCGCTGAACCAGTTGCCAGCCAATCGCAGGGCACACACAGACGAACAACCATGCACACACACTCACAATCACACTTAGGGGCAATTTGGAGTATTTAATTCACCTAGCATGCATGTTTTTGGAATGGAGGAGGAAATCGGATTTCCCGGATAAACTCACTCACTCGGAAAGCACATGCAAACTCAACGGGATTCGAACCTTGGACCTCTCTACTCCATCCATCCATCCATCCATTTTCCGATACACTTCTCCTCACAAGGTTCGCGGGGATTGCTGGAGCCTATCCCAGCCGTCTTTGGGCAGGAGGCTGGGGACACCCTGAACCGATTGCCAGCCAATCGCAGGGCACACACAGACAAACAACCATCCATGCTTGCACTCACACATAGGGACAATTTAGAGTGTTTAATCAGCCTAGCATGCATGTTTTTGGAATGTAGTACCCGGAGAAAACCCACGCATCCCCGGGAGAACATGCAACTCCACACAGAGAGGCCGGAGCTGGAATTGAACTCGATACCTCTGCAGTGTGAGATTGACGCGCTAACCACTGGACCACCGATCCGACCTCTCTACTGTGAGGCGGAAATACTAACCAGTCACCCATAGTGCCGCCCACATAATACTTTATGTTAATTGAGTATTCTTAATTGCTCTGAGGTATGAGAGTGTGAATGGTCGTTTAGCCATATATTTTCGAATGACTCAGTTGTGAGCTGTCACTCTGAAGGGGATCTCTGTGGAAATGGATGGATGAATGAATGGATGGATGAATGGATGGATGAATGGATGGATCCAAGTCAAATAAGTTTGATTCAATAAAAATGGAGAATCGGATCTTTAATTTCCCATGTGTATAATTTTGGATGGCATTTCAATTTAAAAAGTGAACTTTGTGATCCTTCTTTAGTGGATAAATAATAAATAATATTATATATACAGTACTGTATTAGTTGTAGGAATAAAATCACGAATAGTATATGTTCATTTTAAGAAAATCGTCTTAGATTTTTGTTTCTTGTTTGTTTTGGGAGACTCTCCAAACTTCGGATCCTGGAGCTGAGAGAGAACCACCTGAAAACCATGCCAAAGTAAGACTCACTATGTGTTTGTTCCTGTGATCTGGCTTTCCTTGAGATTATTTCGTCTCCAACAATTTATTCAAACCTCCACTCTTGGACTGAGATTTACTTGCATGCCTGACAGGTGTTCTTCAATACTGGTGAAGCCATTTAGTGTATAAATGTAACCTGTTGAAAAGGCTGATGTATAAAATCGTGCACACATTTTCATCGTTGCCATATTATCATAAGGGCCACTAATGGAGTAAAAATCACTGCATGCACTCAATCTTGTGTACCAATCTGTTCTTCCATTCCGATTTAGTTTCAAGATAAAATGCTTATGACCAAAATGTCTGACTCACTCACTCCTCTAAGAGCTGTTACCGTCCCATGGCAGGGTTTGAATGTTTAGGGCTTTATATCACCCAACGCAATCCAAAACACCACTCAGAACCCCGTCCAATGAGAAACACAATTGGACCATGTTTTTGGGTCAATGGGAACCCCGCCTGAAGCCAGGCCTGGCGATTGGACTCAGTGGCGAGCACCTGGTGGCTGAGTCTGGACTCTGCACCCACACACTGAAGAGGCAATTTGTGTCCCCCTTCCCATGCGCTCTCCGTTGGCTGGAGTGTCAAAAAGTTGGGTGGAATGTGAGCTGGGTGGCAGCCAAAGGTGGGGATCTTGAGCCACTTCATCCCCAGCTACAGAAGATGGCCTAAGGAATGTGCAACACCCTGTCTCTTGCAGGGCAAGAGCTCAAGCTGATGTGCGAGGTTGATAGGTTCCAACTAGATATAGACAATAGTTTGGGCTCCTGAGTAATTACTCTTCCACTCTAGAATTGCCCCCAGTGAGAGGGGCAGAGCAGGTGTGGGCATACTTATTGTCCCCCAGATCATTTGTGTCTAGGTACCAAACAGCAGCTCAGAACGGCCTCTCCATTGACAGTGAGACCTGGGAGGGTGTGATTTGGTGGAATGGTCCCCTTGACCTGAACCCAAGTGGTGCTTTGTTGTTAGAATGCTCGGCTCATCACCATGTTCAAGTGTGAGTGTCCATATGTGCACTTGTCACAAGGACACCCAAAGCCGCAGTTTGATGATTGACTTTGTGGTAGAAGAGGGGGAGCAGAGCTCTCAAATGATCACTTCCTGTTAGTGTGTTGGCTCCGAGTTACAGGTGGCGCAATTGGACTGTTCTGGTTGTCCTCGGACAGGGGTGTCAGACATTGTAGATACCGTTTCTCTCGGAGGGCCATTATGACTGAAACTATATAAAGAAGTCAAGGATAACGGTTTATTCAACTTTTGTTTAAGTTACTGTTATGAGGTGTTTGGTAACAAGAAAATGCTGACAATGTCTCTGCTATTTATTACATAGGAGAATTTGAAATTTTGGTACAGATTTTAGCAATGAGCATTGAATTTGATATTTTTGATTTGCTTTCACAGGGCATATAAAATGATGTTTTCAAATCTCTAAATGACCTCGCGCCACCTTACCTCTCTGAGCTCATCCACCCGGACACACCTGCCCGGCGCCTCAGGTCTGCGGACCAGACATTATTAGAAGTACCAAGAACTAAACTGAGGCTCAGAGGGGATCGAGCCTTTTCTGTTGCTGGTCCTTCTCTCTGGAATGACCTCCCACTGAACATTCGGCAAGCCTCCTCGCTGCCCATCAGCACTTTGTATGCAGCGATGGCTGTTTGAAAGTTCTCTATAAATACAGTTGAGTTGAGCTGAGTTGAGTTGAGATGTGGTGGGCCAATCTGGCCCCCATTTCTTGAGTTTGACACCTATGTCCAAGAAGATGTTTCGCCACTCATCTGAGTAAGCTTCATCAGTGAATGCGACAAGGCTTGGTTAGGACTGCACCAGCTCGAGTTGGCGTGGAAAACCCAACTATTTAAGGTATGAATAGTATACTGTATGTGGGTCAGTTTCCACGTGTTTTGCATGAGCAGTCATGTTTGTGACCATGTTTGCAGACTCAATGTATCTTAATTAGCCTCGGAAAGCTTTGGGATCTCCTTGGAACAGCTTGACAAAATAGACTTGGTGTCCACCGGGCTTAGGCATTCATAGGAGAATGCAACGCAGAAGTGGTAGCAAAGGCATAAGCAGCATGCACATTACATCCAGCCATCCATTATCTGAACCGCTTGGCCTTATGAGGGTCGCAGGCATGCTGCAGCCAATCCCAGTTGTCTTCGGGCAGTAGGCGGGGGACACCCTGAACTGGTTGCCAGCGAATCGCAGGTCACACAGAGACGAACAACCATTTACACTCACAATCACACCTTGGGACAAAATGTTCAATCCACCGAGAGTAGATGCTTATGGAATGTGATATAAAACCGGAGTACCCGGAGAAAACCCAAGCAGACATGGGGAGAACATGCTAACTCCGTACAGGAAGGCCAGACGAAGGCACCCTGCACCTCTGCACCAGACGGGCTCCACAGTCAACCTCCGTGCCGCCCTTGCACAGTACATACAATACCTGAATCAGCCTGATGCCACATTATATGACATGCATGCATGGAGGCAAACTGGTGTTATCAAGATCATGACAAGTGACGACAGCCACAGACATAATGGAAAATTCATATTTGAACAAATACTATGCTAGGGTTCCATACATACTTTTTTAAAAATCCCTCTCAAGAATACCACTCATTTGTCATCTTGAGGCCCAAGTTAATTGTTGGCATAACATTCAAATAATAAAAACTACAATATTCCAATACTTATTAATCACCTGAAGGTGGACTGCTTGATTGTAATCATTGGAAACATAGAATTTACTTCCACTCAAAGTTACCAAGCTTTCTTGTGATCGTAGGTGTCTGCATTCTCTCATTCCAGGTCTATTCATCGACTGACACAGTTGGAGAGATTGGATCTGGGTAGCAATGAATTCTCTGAAGTGGTGAGAATGTGTGCTGTTCTATTTAGCAGGTGGTGTTCATCTAAAATGCCAATGTAAAAAAAAAAAAAAAAGTGGTTCTCTTTGGACAGTTGTCTGTGTTTAAATAATAATTAAAAATTAGAGCTGTCAGTTTAGCGCTTTATTACGGCATTAATTTAAATCAATTTTAACGTGATTAAATTTTTTATCGCAATATTAATGCGGAAACACGTCACGGCGGATGTTACGTTGCTCGATAAATAAACCGGAAACAAAACAACAAGCGCGCTGCACAGGTCCACACTCCACACCCATGTCTGTTTTGCCAGCCACGGCAGCGCGAGACACCGAAAACGGATACTTGAAGAGTTTATGAATGGAAAGTTTACTTTTAAAAAGTTGCCAGATGGTTCCACTGACAAGACCAAAGTTACCTGTATGTTTTGCAGTCGTAAACTGAGCTATCATCTTAGCACGTCGAGTCTGAAATACCACTTAATGGCCAAGCACACAGCTGATGTGAGTACTCCGCCCCCTCGTCTCAGACAGACAGCTATGGATCATTTCAAAGCGAAGAAAATGGATAACACGACGAAGAACAAATTTGCTGAAGCCATAGCTAAATGTATGACTACTGCATGCAAGCCTGTCAACATTGTCCACAGCTCGACTCAAGCTAAAATCATTCGCATTGCATCAAACGACTCCACTACGGATTGCCAGCGAGAGCCTCCATTACAAGCTTGGAACTATTTTGTGTGGAAGGTTACCGTGTTCCGTGTCCATATAAATAAAGGGGGTGGAGCTTCTCCGTGTTCGTCTGAAAGCGACGGTGTGCTGAGGCACGTTGAGAGTTCAGCGGTGCAGCGGTAGCGACCACACTGAAAATAATAAAACGTCTCCAGTGTTGTGCCTCGAACCAAGAGTAGTCATCTGAAATGATGTCTAAACAAAACCATAGAGAGACTTCCGCGCAAGAAGGACAAAGAGAATCAACATAGCCTGACTGCTGTGTTCAAAGCAAACTTGAGAAAAACGAAGTATGCAACCATGGCTTAAATCCACTATAGGCTGAGTACTAGTTTACCTTAGATGTGCACTTTATAATTTTATATTGCTCTGTTTTGATTCGCGAAAAAGAGCTGTTAAAGGAGCTGTTGTGTGACAAAATATTTTTTTCACTGATGTTGATGGACAGTGTTATTGTGTGAGAGATTATGTGTGAATAACTGCTTCAAGTGAAAAATGTTCATGTAAAATTGAAAATCTAAATTGTTGTTTCAGTAAATACTTGCATTTTGCACGTAGAAAACTGATCCACGATTCCATGTTGATGAGAGCATTAAAACGGGAAAAAACAGGACAAAAAAATATAAAAGAAATTTAGAAATGATAAAAAAGTGTGATTAATTGCGATTAATTATGAGTTAACTAAGACATTTGTGCATTTAATCACGATTAAATATTTTAAATGTTTGACAGCACTATTAAAAATATATATAATATAGATAGCACGGGAAAGAATCACAAACAATGTCGGCAAGTCCCATTTCAGGGGCGGCCTCCTTCGACATTCTCATTTCAAAAACTGGTGCAGCATATGATGAATCTTCTCAAGACATCGTCTCATTAAGGAGTAAGGCATGAGTTCAGCTGGACCATGAAATGGGACACAGTGCCATGAGGGGGCTGAGGGAGAGAAGACCGGATGTAAGTTGACAGGATTTGACATCTGGGTCAGACAGGAAGTTCGCCGCATGGTTTGCATCCCGCCAAGAGTCTCGCCCACTAATTTATGTTCACCACGCTCAAAGGCCATGACTCTCTTTGCGAATGTGACTGGTTCTACTCCACCATAACAAGTGTCTTCTCTTCATTATGATGGTGTCATTTAAAATTAAATATTATTATCTTTGTAAATAGAGTTTTAGATAGTTTAGAGGGATTTAGATGTAGTGTACCTAATGAAGCATAAAGTGAATGTAAATTGTCACAGTAAAATGTAATTTGAAATTTGTCACTGAAAGTTTCTGGTCAAAAATATTTTGGCCGTTTTTATTTTGTTGACATGTGTGGTCTATTTGCATCTTAGCCGGAAGTGTTGGAGCAGATTCATAATCTAAAGGAGCTGTGGATGGATAACAACTCTCTCCAGTCCATACCTGGGGTAAGGAAACTAATTATAAAATACTGTATGTTCTTTTTTTTTAATTTTATAGAAGTGGTTTATCTATGATTTGCCTTCCTTATCTCTCTGACTCTGCAGTCACTAGGAAAACTTCGCCAGCTGCGCTACTTAGACTTAGCTAAGAATCGTATTGAGAATTTGGACACGGATGTTTCAGGTTGTGAGGCCTTAGAGGATCTTTTGCTTTCCTCCAACATGCTTCAGCATCTCCCTGACTCTATAGGTGGGTCCTCAGACACACACATTATTTTATTATACAATATAAATAAGAGCCTTTACAGACCACAGACCTCCATCTACAGCAGTTCAAACATTTTTTTTAACAATACAGTTGTGCTCAGAGGTTTACATACCCTTTGGGTACGGAAACTTCTAAGCACCACTGTATGCTTGCCAACTAGTGGTGAATGGTGATATTTACATTTGTGCTCATTAAGTGTACACACCCCTTGGGTATGTCAACTTAGGAGCACAATTGTATCTGGGCTGCAATGTGAACCTGTAAACAAAGTTAATTTGTATTTACCGACGTCTTTGCATTTGCATGGCCTTACAGGAATGTTAAAGAAACTTACAACACTGAAAGTGGATGACAACCAGTTGACCTCACTGCCGGGAACTATCGGGAGGTAAGAAATCTCCACGAGCATTCAAGTCATAAAGGCCAATTAAAGCCACGTAGATCAGTTTTTGCTTGCTAGTTCATCACTAGGTGTTATTCTCTGGAGGGTTATGTACTTTCCTTGTTTACTACTCTCTGTTATTGTGCTGGCTGATGATTTGGGGGGGCGGATTCTGTGTGTTGCTTTTGCTGCGTTGCCGTGGCATAAGTGCGAAGCCCAAGCAAGGGTGAGTAACTTTAGAACATAGTTTGTTGCTTCAGGGATGTGTTCAGAAACCAGAGAGAGATGTTCAGTTGCGTCACAGATACAAACACACCATGAGAAAAAAAAAAAGATTGCATCACTTCACACAAACTAAACAATTTTTTGTTTTGAGTGCACAAATGTTTCCCCATAATTTCTTCCTTGAATGGTAAATTGGTCTTAAAGTCCTCACAGACACAAAGTTTCTTTGCATGTGATGGATCAGAGCACAACACAATGGACTCCACTGGAGACAACAAATAGAATAGAAAAGTATATTGGAGCAGTGATATTGCTCTACTCTTTACAGTTAAATAACTTTTATTTGTAACATCATGATGTAATTGCATTGTAACAGAGATAAGTTGTGATAGATAATTTACAATATTTTCATCTGCTGTGCTTTTTATCTTGATGCCCTGAAAACAATGCACCTTTCTGAATAAGTCCCTGGGATTAACTTCAATAAGCACACCATTATTTCCCTTCTGCTGATACCTTAGAACGTAGCCCTCCTTCACTAATGACTTCCTTGAAATCAGTGTGTTCCCCATAATTAGGCTCATGCCGTCTCAAGTTATTCCTTTTAATCAACTTGTATTTAGACACTAATAAATGACATTAGGTGGCACAGTGATCGCATGGTTAGCACATCCACCTCAAAATGTAGAGGTACAGGGTTCGATTCCGGCTCCGGACTTCCTGTGTGGAGTTTGCATGTTCTTCACGTGCCTGCGTGGGTTTTCTCAGGGTACTCCGGTTTCCTCCCGCATTTCAAACCATACATGGCAGGTGAATGAAACACTCTTGATTGTCCCTAGGTGTGAGTGTGAGCACGGATGGTTGTTTATCTCTGTGTGCCCTGCGACTGGCTGGCAAACAGTTCAGGGTGTACCCCGCCGACTGCCCGAAGACAGCTGGGATAGGCTCCAGCATGCCTCACGACCCTCGTGAGAATAGGCGGATTAGAAAATGGATGGATAGATACATGTCATTAATATATTTGCATTTCACCTTTAATGAATGCAACATAATTTATCTTGGCAAACAACTCTCTTTGCCTCCTCGGTCCCAAATGTATGGGATTTATATTATCTGTCAATAGTATTCTAACATGCAAAATAATTATATAATTTGTGTACAGTTCATGGAATGTGTATGATCTCTATCCTTGCAGCAAAATTGGTGCCAATCTACTATTTTTTTAGGTCTATACTTGCTTAAAAATATAAAATCTAAACACATAGGAACCTCTAAGGTTGAACACAGTGCTATCCGCAATGCTATTCAACAACCAAATAATCTGTTCGAAGGTTGATCTGTCAGCAAGAGGCTGAACAACTCAAGACTTTTGGCAGTCGACTAAAATGATGAAAATCAAGTCAAAGTCGATTAGTCGATGACGTTACTGATTATTTTTGAAGCACAGTACAGCTAACCTCAACCTTTTTCGTACCGCAGATGTGTTCCACATAAAAGACGTATTTCGACACACCGGCAAAGACGCAAATGCAAATAAAAAAGATTGCAAATCCATTCATTCATTTTCCAAACATCTTATCCACTACAACTCACCATTATGCTGAATGTGCTTTGTCATAATTAGGGGAGCCCTGCGCATGTTTTTTTCTGTCCAACTAGGCTCATCTTGTGAACCATAACAAAGCGTGTTTCAAATGCGGGATCACAGCCTGGCTGCTGTAGAAATAAAATAGATTGATAGGCTTTCATACTTTAGTGACCAAGCTATTGGACTTATTTTTGGTCAAATATTTCCACCCGCTTTTGGCAGACTACAGTAATCCCTCGTTTATCGCGGTTAATGGGGACCAAAACCACCCACGATAAACGAAAATCCGCGAAGTAGCGACCAATTTATTATTATTTTTTTTTTAAGTCCGCAAAAAGTCTGCAAACTGTCCGCAAGAAGCTGCAAAACAACAGCGAGTCACATAGAGCAACATATACAGTACTGTACTCCATGTATATTGAAAGAAAAAGTTATTATTTATTTATTATTATTTTTTTTTTATGTTTGAAAAAATCCGCGATGCACTGAACCCGCGAGAAACGAACCGCGAAGTAGCGAGGGATCACTGTACTGCAATAGGTATTACCACATTGTCGTAAAGCTACACAAATGTCACATTGTTAGTGTTTATTGCAATATGAATCCATTTCTCCTTACCACACAGTTGTTGCACACGCAATATTGGGCAAAACATTTGCCAACAAAGATTTAGATTCATCTCGCGCCGCTCACGCTCATTCCCCCACGGTCCCACTGGTATAAATATCATAAGACAGCAATTGAAATAGCCGAAGCTTGCAGCCTAAGCGCTATTCTCATCTAGTTAATTCCGTGCTCTCTGGCCCACCCAGATGTATGAAGACAGTGTCGCCTTGCTGGCTGCACATTTCATTGCTCCACAGAGTGTTATAGTCTGGGGGTGGCAGCTTCAGTGTGTCAGTTCCTGCTTCCACCATGTAGACTGTGTGCCTCTCTAGCGCTGAATTTAAAGGAAATGAGAGGACCGTTGCGAATTTAGTTGGCTGTGTTCAACCCACAAATGCGCAAACCACCTGTTTCTAATTGTGCGCATCTGCAAAACTACCAAAAATAAGGAAATTCCACCCATGCGTACAGCTGCACTGTGCCTCGCAGTAGACTTGGCATGAATCTAGAGCCCTTGGTGTATTATCACCCCTAGTTAGGTTGGTTCTTACTTTGGCTATATGTTGCAAAACATAGCAAAAATGCGCCCCCTCCACCACACACACACACACGCACGCACGCACGCGCGCGCGCACAGAGTTAATCCTTTATGATCTCTGCACTAAGGTCTTTCTGATAACGCTAATATCTCCCGTTATATCATGCATGTCATTCCCTCTATTGCCAAAAGTGTTGAAGACACATCACGAAAAGCCAAATATAAAACATAACAGAGACAGAGCAGAGTCAAGTTAGTACTCTGACACTTGCTGAAATTAACCCTTTCAGGGACAACGGTTACTACAATGGACAGTTTACCATGTTATCAGGTTACAGGGTGCATGAAAGGGTTAAGTTTGACAAAGTACGCATAAGTTATGGCTGACGTCATGCGTGACGATGGTTCAAACTCTGAAGTGACATGTCCCTTCAGAGAGGCATTACTCATGAAACATTTCAGTTAAATTATGAATGGGTCTAATTCAGTGACGTTAACTTTCGTAGATCCACCGTATAGTGGCTAAGGCAAACTAGGGAAAACAAAAAATTAATAAATACCGTCAGTTTACAGAGACTCGCGGCATAAATATACATAGTTTCAACAGATAATTTATGGCTGCTAAACTGGAAAACAGTTAGCTCAAGCAGCCATCTACACATGCCTTAGAAATTGGATACTGCATGCGCATGAATGTGATAAATTGCTGAGTTAGTTAGGTGTTAACGAAAATGTCCAGCTTGCTCGACCTGACCCATTTTGTATCGTTTTCAAAAAGAACCTCATGTGCTGTATTGCTCATTTTGTTTCTCCTTTCTGCCTGAGGAGATATACATTAGTGACTAACCAGGGCTCTTCTTAATGAGCTGCTGTAGCACCTATAGAATCATACCGCAGCAGGGGAAAACATTGCAGGGCCTTCTTTGCTTCAGTGTGACACCTGGCACTGCTTTAAGGATTTGTGGGCTGGTAAGATATCTAAATAAAGGATAAGAAAGTTCCCCCCGCCCCTCCTCTCCACTATTCTCTCCTCTCCTCCGACCGTATGGTGGCCCAGATGGTCCAGGCTGGTGGGAATAATAACGGCAGACTCTTGCAATGTTAACAATAACAGTACTTGAATGTAAAATGCTCGGCTCATTAGCATGAGTCTGCTGTTAGCCAGGCCAGTGGTGCTCAAAGACAAGTGGGTCAAAGGGCCTTGTCGAGCCCCATGGACATTACTGTAAACATGTTCGGCTTGTCATTGACGCACACATTTAAAATGTATGATGGAGGATCAAAATCGAACCCATATTGTAATAAAGTCCTACGAAGCCTGTGCAATGATTGTTCATGAGCAGATTCATGTGATGATTTATTGATTCTTAAATGTGCTGATCTTTGACTTTTCTTTATGATCTTAGTTGTTGCTCTGAAGGCAAATGAAGAGGTCCTTTCCAAAACCAGATACTGTAAATGCATAAAGAATTAAGACACACAAAAAAGGCTTTTGAGAGACTATCATGTATTTGCACTCTATATGTAATTTATTAACCCTGCAGTCCACCATTTACAGAGCTCAATTATGTCTTTTACCTGTCTTTGTAAACGAACTCTCCTTATTGTCTTCATACAGCAATAAGTTGAAGGATGGTGTTGATTCCAGCAAAGCTATGAATCTCTATTTTTGTAGTTTTGTGTTGTATGGGTCTGGTTTAATCCTGTTGTACTGAAACAAGCTTACAAACGGTTTTACACTCGCATTCTATACCACATTTTGAACTTGGTATTCAGCTCATGATAGTTGTTCCTGAAAATGATTCGAAGCCCAGCAAGGAATATCACCATCCATATGCTTTAAATAATTATATCATTGTAAGAGTAGTTTACTAGCTGTGGAATCTTTTTTTATGATTATTACTTCTTTGCCATTTTCTCTTTGCCTCCCCGTTTCTCAATATGTCTTCCACTCAGTCTTTGTCTATTGGAGGAACTGGACTGTAGCTGTAATGAGTTGGAGTCACTTCCTCCAACCATAGGCTACCTGCACAGTCTCCGAACCTTTGCTGCTGATGAGAACTTCCTCATAGAACTTCCCCGAGAGGTGACTATCCAATTGCACTCTTGACACTTTTCTTCCTGAAAGCACCACCCATGCAATTCGTTGCCTGAACTGACCCCACAATGTTATGTTTGTGTGTTCAGATCGGTAACTGTAAGAATGTGACAGTGATGTCACTACGCTCCAACAAACTTGAGTTCCTCCCTGATGAGATAGGACAGATGACCAAACTACGAGTCCTAAACCTTAGTGATAATAGGTATACACACACCGACACACAGACACTGTAATGGAAACTCTTCATCAATGATTTTGTCTTTGCTCTTTCCGCCTCCAGTTGCTATGGCAACTGGCGAGTGTGTTGCTATGGTGACATGCTCTGCGGGCTGTACAGTACGTGGGCAGACAAAACATATTTTTCTTATTCTTGCTCCCCTCCCTTGTCTCTCATTGTCAGGTTAAAGAATCTCCCGTTCACCTTTACTAAGTTGAAGGACCTGGCTGCTCTCTGGCTTTCTGACAATCAGGTAGCTCTCCCTCCTCTCCCGCAAAATATGATCCTGTAGATGAATGCAATACCGAAAATCGGGTGACAGTACACAAGCAGAATTTCTGACCTGTGCATTTGATTGCATTATCAGAAAATACATGCAGTGATGATTACATTTAGACTGCAACTGTATTCCTTTCATATTAACCTCTGCAAACGATTAACCAGTAATGCAAATGAATTGTCAGGAAGGAGAGGCATTTTGTAAGATCTATAATACTGTGTGGTTAGGAAAAAAAAAAGGTTAATTTATGTTTGTACGTTTCGGTATAGTAATAAATAGAAGCATTATGCATATGTGGAAAGGGAACACAGAATGAGTGCCGGCAATTGAGTGCGAATGGACACCTCGAGTGACAAAGATGGCATCTAAATATTTTTTTTTTACACATGACATTGCTTGAAAGCTGATATCGATGTGTCTGTCATTGCAGTCCAAGGCTCTGATCCCCTTACAGACAGAAGCCCACCCCGACACCAAACAGAAGGTTTTGACCAACTACATGTTTCCTCAACAACCTCGTCATGATGAGGGTACAAACTGTGTGTGTGTGTGTGTGTGTGTGTGTGTGTGTGTGTGTGTGTGTGTGTGTGTGTGTGTGTGTGTGTGTGTGTACGCATGCACATGTGTATTATGCGTATGAATGAAAATCTGATGGCAGAAATGTGGAGTTTGAGCCTGTCATGTGTCATGTGGGAATTTTCATATGAGGAATAAGGCAAAATGTAATTAGTACAAATAAGCGCGATCACTAGAGTTACTTTTAAAAAGATGTTTTAATGAACGATAATAATAACAGTCGCTGATGGTATAGTGGTACACTCGCCTGATTTATGTGGGGGCTGCGTGGGATAGGTTTCCACCGATGGCGTGGATGTGGGTGTGAATGGTCGTTTGTCTCAATATGTGCTCTGCGACTGGCTGGCGACCAGTTCAGGGTGTAGTCTGCCTTCCGCCCAAAGTCAGATGAAATAGGCTCCAGCAACTCCCGCGACCCTCTTCAGGATAAGCGGTGTTAAAAATGGATGGATGGATGGATAATGAGAACATGAATACAAGAATTTTCTCTTCCCTCTTACCATAAAATGATGGCTTAACATCATATTTTAAGCACAGCATATCTGCCGATTAAATTGTCTAAGGAGTTCATTGGCAGTTTTACAACATCGCGCTTTACTTTTCGGTTGGTGCTCTGTGTGCAGATTATCAGTCGGACAGTGACAGCTTTAATCCTACTCTGTGGGAGGAGCAGAGACAGCAGAGGATGACTGTGGCCTTTGACTTTGAGGACAAGAAAGAAGAGGAAGACAACTCCGGGAAGGTCAAGGTCTGCCTTTTATCTGGCTGTGCTGTCTGTCTGTATGTTCAGTATGTACCTGGATGTCTACGTACATTGGGGGGGGGAATCGTTTGGTTCCACTGGATTTACTGAATTTGGACATGCACATCGTTTGTGCATGATTAGAATGAGCATATCAATTTTAATATTTTGCTGGAAAAGTGTACAAAAGTATATCAGTTGACCCAATTTTAATCATGTTCATCCGATTTTTTTTTTTTAGTGTATGGACTGTTATGTCCAGGAGTATATTGATTGTGAGTTTTTATGCTTTTTCTTTGATTCACCACTACATTGGATTCTAAATAAAACTTTGAATGGGTGATGAGGCTTTACAAAAATATTTCATTTGCCACATTTTACTGGATTACAGCAATTTTAAATGGAATACATCAATGTTAATACCTGAATGAATTGCCTGAGGCTTCAGAGATGACGCACATCCCAACACACTGAGATTTCTCCATGAAAGATGTTTTGACAGTTCTACACAGCACGGCCCATGCCTTTTACTTGTTGCTTGTTTGTGCATCTTTACTGCCCTCCCTTGTGTATTTGGTATTAGTGTAACATTGCCAGTAAAAAATAAATAAATAAAAAATACAAACTTGGAAAGACTCACTGTACTGCATTACAAGTACACAAAATCTGTGAAATGATAAATACCTGATGTGTGCTTTTACTCTCTCCTCCATTATCAAACGGTGGAACAAAATTTTATGTTCCCCTTCTTCAATAATTAATGTGCATCTTTGGGATTAGTGAAGACTGTGTTTATTTACTAATTTTTTATTTATGAATTTATTTCTGTCATTGACTTGGCATTTGAAAAAAAATATAGTTGTTTTTTTCACTAAGAGATGTGAGGGTCAATATGAATCTAAAATCTAAAATGCCCTCTTACCAGTTTTGTAGCATTTGGCAGAATGTGAGTCAACCATGTGGCTCAGAGTTCATCTTCATCCTTCAGCCAAGTCAATAAACACCAATGAGCCTGTTTCAGCAGCAGCCTGATGCCGTCGCGCCATAAGTGGGGGAAAGAGTAATTAGCTAAGGGCCCATAAATGACAGAGGACCAAGTTGTAGAAAACGGACCAAATTGTATGCATGTACAGGGCCTAACAAATTAATTATACCACGTCTCATAAAAATGATGATAATCTAAGTGAATTCACCTTTATGTTTTAATATCAAAACTTCAATCAGCTCATCGGGCTTGTGCGAGAAGTCGGAAAATAATAGAGCAAAACAAAATACGTTAACAATGCTTTCTGTTCAATAATCCAACTAAATTACCTCAATTTCACATCTTTTTGCCATTAATATTGCGCGACACATGTTTGTATAGTGCTGTGATATTTTTTGTGATTATGTTTTTTTTTTTGGGAGGGGGCAATTTGAAATTTCACGGTTAACTACAATTATATTTTACCATTAATGTATTTTTGGTTCAATAGCATATTGTGTTAAATGCTGCCTACTCGGCATCCGTTGCAGCCTGGTATCTTATTCTCTTATTATTTGTCAACTGTGGGCATGTGAAGCACTGTGAGGCACTTTTGTTATGTAGGTCTTCATTAATAAGGTTGACTAGTCTCATGAAAAGCCACATTTACTTTCATATTGGTTTTCATTCTGACACAGTTTGGGAATGAACTGAATGGCGATCGGATTCCACAAACGTAGACAAACAAAATCCGGGCAAAAATATTGAATCACAAAAGCGCACCAACCAAGTATAAACAGAAAATGCTGGTCAAAAAGAACCAGGAAAACAGTACATTAACAAAAAGCGCTTGCAAAGGCAAGGAAATAGGAACCCCAAGATACATATAAACAAAATGACTAGAGTCCAATTTCACCAAACAAAAACAAGATCGAAGACAAAATGAATACAAGGTGAGAGGCAAGACAGCAAAAACGACAATGACGAGATCAAGAAAACACTTGAGCAAGAGCAGCAACAAGGTCAATAATCCGACAGAGACATGGGATGTTGGCAGTCCTCAAATCCATGGCTAACTTGATGAAAAGATTGCCGGTGTGCAAGCTGGAGGGAAGGCCCTCCTCTGCCACCTGCTGGAGACACACGGAACAGGATCATGACACATTCTTCAACACTACAAACACTATAGTTCTTTTTTGTGTGTGTATTTTTATGTTGTAATTTTTCATTTGCATACATATACATTTGAATTGCGATGACAACAAAATAAACTAAGAATCAAAAGAGTAAATAATCAAAAGACTACAAATTAAAGAAGCTTAAGGTCGATTTAACATTTTGCTCAATAAAAATTGTCCTGATCTATTTCCACAGGTGGAGATAAACCTAAAACGCTATCCCACACCTTACCCCGAGGACCTGAAGAACATGGTCAAGTCAGTGCAAAGCCTCGTGGGTAAAAATGTTCACACCGGCCATGGTCACCAGCACCATCTTAGCACAGGCACTGTCACCTCAGCAGTTACAAACATGGAACTTACACACCATAGTAAAGAGCCATATGAACCGCCATGGCCCCTGCCACCTAAAGAGGTAGAAAACACCCAGTTCGACACACACTGCATCATGAAAACATGAACTGATGCATTGTTTGGTTTCATCTATGCTTACTAGGTAACAGACAGAGAGATGCAGGACTTCTCTCAGGCTCAGCTTATGGATCAGGGATCGATGCATAACTCTGGCATTGACATCCCAAAGAGGAAGGACAAAGAGGACCTGACAGAGAGCTCAGAGGTTTGTAACACAAACATTTGCCCCAACTGAAAGCATAAATAACCATCTTGCCCATTTAAATAAGACCCCTTCTCTATCTCTAATGTTGCTCTCTGTGAAATATTTTAAGACAGAAAATAGTTCATTTTGTGATAACACTCAAGTCTTGATTCAGGAAGTAAAGAAGCCCTCAATCAGTTTATGCCTAAGCCTCTGCCCAGTGTGAAAAAGGCAACCATTAATTGCTTCTGTTGCTCTGTTTTTCAATGTATGACACCCTCAACATGCAGGTGTGTATTGTGCTAGTGTGATGAAAGTCCCCTTTTAAAGAGCTCCACATTTTTGGTGTCATAGTTTGTTGGAGATCCAATTTGACACAAAACAGGGTCAAAATTATTTAGATGCAAAATTATTTAGATGCTTGTCTAACATTTTAGTTTCTCTACACTGATTATCCAATGATGCTTTGCCATAACGTAACAGCATGACTACTGATTGACTTCCAACAGGACTCAATGGGCGGCTCACCCAATGACATCCGCATCTCCGACATGAGGCCCACCCTAGTGGAGCCATCGATGTACAAGCCAAAGGTGGTGCTGCTTGGCAAGGATAAAAAAGGTGCTGTTTTACACTGAAACACAAAGGCATGCAGGCTTAAACACATTTAATCTGGTCTGTGATGAAGCGCTCGGGGCTTGCTTGTAATCGTGCCCATTAATTAGTACTGTAATAGTGCCACAAAGATTTCTTTCAGAGTTGAACACTGAGAGTGAGGGAATACTACAATGCTCCTAGAAATGAGTGTTCTCTAGGTCAGATAGGTCCGTCTTTTATTTTGACATTTGGATATTTGCTTCTTAAATCGGTTACATGTTTTAGAAGGATAGATGTGCAAGGTTCCATAAACATCCTTCCTCATTTGAGATCATTTATTCATTTTCAATGTACAGTGAACTACTGCTATTCGCAGCAGATAGCGAGAATAGGGAAAATCCACAAAGAATTTACTCACACTAAAAATGTTTGCAATTGGTTATAAATGCCACAAGATGGCGGCAGAACACTTTTTTCAAATAGACAAGACAATGGCCCGCGCACAAAAACTGCAAATAGGTGAGTTTTCAGTGAATACCAGAAGATAGGTTCCCAGAATCCCCCGTAAAATGTGTGAAAATGTGTATGTCATACAGAAACAGAACATCATCCATGAAGATTGAAAAGTGAATTGAGCTTTTTTTGACAAAGGAAGGAATAGAAAGTTCCCAAGGGCGAAAAAGTCAGAAGACATTAGCAAAATAAATACTCAAGTAAAGTACTGATACCTGAAAGAAAATCTACATCAGTGCGGTAACAGAGTATTTGTACTTCATGACATCGACCTCTGTTTGTAAGCAAGTAAGGTAATTTCTTGAGATGTGTATATATCTCTCTTTCTCTCTCGTTCTGTCTAGAGTCTACAGACGAGGAGGTGGATAAGCTCCACTGTCTGAATCACAGTGGCTCCTCGGCCACCTACTCTGATTACTCTCCCTCGGTGGGCTCCTCTGGTTCCTCCAACCCACCCGTTAACACCCACTCACACCCTCACTCTCACGCCCACCAACACAACCCTGCCCTGCCGGCACCCAACAAGGACCAGGTTCCTCAAACACACTGGACCAACAGGTAGCCACAAATGTCCAATCATGGCTCATGTTCAGTGCCATCTCCGTCACTTTCTCATAGCCATCCATCCTCTTTTCATTCAACTCCATCGTCTCAACTTCAAACTCCTTCATCTGTCACCCTAATCTATCCTCTGTCTTGTCACTTTGCTTTATCCATTCTTTCCAAGATCCCCCCCACACAAACTTGCATGCCTCTCTGTCTTTGCCATTCTCTGCTTGCTCAGTCAAGAAGCTCATTAGGATGCTGCAGGCAGGTCACAATTCACTCTTTCTCCCTCATCTCTTTCCTCCCCTGCTTTAAAGTTGACCAATCTAAACATCAGTATACTCTAAGTGCGTTGAGGTGATTACCACTGAACATTAAGCTTGTGCAGTGGCTCCACAAAAAGTAAGGCGGATTCAACATGCACTGTAGTATCTATCTAAACCAACCGTTTTGAGTCTCAAGGCAGTAATATGTTTGAATTCCGTACCATAATAACATCTGCTTTACTTACTTATATATTGTATTATACAGAATGTGTTTCTACTGAAGAAATCATGGGTGTTATCATAGATGGCAGCTCCACCCTCAATCAAAATCAGCTCGTGTTAGCTCCAGCATTGTGAATGAACGCTGACAAAAAAAAAAGACAGAAAAAAATACCTGCTTTCGCTACGTGGGCACACATTTGCAAACCGCTACTCATGGAGATACAGGCTTAAAAAAAACCTCAACATCTTCATTTCCCCCACTCCAGCTTTCCTTCCTGTATTTTCTTCAGTGGGACTACCGCTAAACCATATATCATGGCCAGCCTAAAAAAAAAACGACATGGCCAGTACAGCAACAGATGTTGTTGAGATGTTGAACACTTGTTGCCAGAAAGAGTCTTCTGGTTCAACCCTTGTCATCATTTGACATCCATCCATCCATCCCGCTGGTCCTAATCAGCTTAATCAATAATTTGTGTTTCTCTGTGTGTATTATTCTTTGGGCCAGACAAATGCTATCTTTTGTTATTTAAACGTAAATGAGAAACAACAAAATACATTCTTATTGGACAGAGTTGGTTTCAACATTATCCTTGATCCTAATTTAGGCTGGCCCAGTCTTTTCCGAAACCGATTGACTCCAAGCCCCTGCTGTCCCAAAGAGAAACTCCCCCATCAGGGACCATTCAGCAACGTGGAGATAGACGCCCGCTGAGCGAGCCTTTCGACTGGGCCGAGGCACCTCACTATGACAACACTGGATTTGATGCCGAGGAGTCTCCCCTAGACCCTTCATCATCTAATACGAGCCAGGGTAACCCGTCACTGGGTTCCAAACCCCGGAGCCAGTCAACACATGGCCGCCGTCCTCTCCTAAGGCAAGAACGAATTGTGGGCGTCCCGTTAGAGCTGGACGCACAGACACTCCCCTTTCACAACAACCAACGGACCACACATGACAACGAATCCCAAGCTTCTGTGCAAGCTTCCCAGAATCCTTGGCAAAATTGGACCCGCACCCCAAGCCCCTTAGAAGACAGGACAGCGTTTCCCTCCAAATTGGACCTGACACCAACCTCAAGTCCAAACCCAGACCGCAAGGTGGTAGACCAAAGGTAACTGAAGCAGGAGATCATCAATTTTACTCCTCGGTAGTTTGTCACTTTCTGTTGCATGTGTTTTGGACACTAGTTATGGTTGAACTCAACCTAGTGTTACTGTGCAAAGAAGAAAAATGTTTCAAGACAAGCATTCACACACCGTTGCGCTGCAGATTCTTACTTAGTCACACAACATTTCTGTCTGTAACATTGTACTCTTTGGGCTTTAATACAAACCAATCCAAAATCTTTTAGGAGATTATGGGCAGAAAAGTGATGTTATGCCTGTGATGGCGCATACGGCACATGCTAAAACATCCAAACACTACAGCATTCAGCACTGCTGTGGCTCACAGCCCATGGGCAGCATATTTGCATGCTCCTCTGTCTGGGATTTTTGCCGATGTATATTAATCAATTTTACAATTGTCAATTTCTTTCTTTTGGGGGGATTTTGCCTGACCTACTGAATCTTTCAACACTCACTGAATTTCCAGGGAAATTCAAATTTTTAATTTCGATCCCTCCATCAAACTATATTCCCTTCAAATGCCATCTAAAATTGGGAATGAGGCAGGACACATTCTGGACTGGTCACTAGTCAATCCCAGGGCACATTTAGACAAACAACCAGTGACACTCATGTTCACGCTTTTCTGCAATGCAGAATATTTAATTAACCCTTCAGGCTTCTTTTTGGAATGTCGGAGGTACCCATTCTCTATTCATTAATCATGGCAGAGACTTTTATAACTGTGCTGCTGTTGTCAACCTGACCATTGGGTGTATGGAGGTTTTACCTCTTTTTCCTTCTTGCTACAAGGCGGGAGCAATCATCAGGGCCTCTTCCTGGCAGCTGGTCATATCACAACAATCAGGGGGAGCAAAACAGAAAGGACCAGCTCGCTGTCGCCGGGGGCAACAAGGTAACCGTGGTAATGAGTAAAACTTCTGACCGACTGTCTCCAATGATGAAAGAAACAAGGTCCAAGTTTAAGAAATCGCAGAGCATCGATGAGATCGACATTGGCGCCTATAAAGTCTATAGGTATACTTTTATATATTACCGATACTTGCATTACCCGCATTGTGATAAGTCATATTTGTACAGAACTGTTTTTTTCTTTTCTACACTTGTTCTTTATCTCTAGTATTCCCATGGACAGCTACAGCTCATCCATTGAGCAGCAGAGCAGTTTGGACCGCCAAGAGCTGCCAGGTTCCATGGAGCAGACCAACATGGCTCGGTCGCAGTCCGCACCTATGTTAGATGAGGAGCTTGGAGTCCCAGCGCATGGCAACCAGAACCAGCAGGGGCACAACCAAAAACCTGCAGTCCCACATAAAGCCTACCACTTTGACCAAAATTATAATCCCCAGGTCAGCAACATGCATTTACAGTAGATGCATGTTTAAAACTTGTATCACACTGAGCCGGGAATACAAGCGAATGTTTCCGCATATAGCAAATGTTTATTCCTGAGGCTTCATTCAAGGTCGCAAAAAGGTTGCAAAGATCTTTGCCAGACAGTCGAAAACGTTTTTTCTTGTCGCCGGTATTTTGAACACGTTTAAAATTATTGCGACCATGAAAACTGCTGTGAACATTTGACGAAGGTCTTTGCAACCTTTTGCAACCTTTAACAAACCCTGGCGGAAAAACAACATTTGCTACATTCCCAAACACTCACAAGCCTTCACCACTCAGTGACAAACCACCTTAAGGGATATTGTAGCTGTTTTTAAGATTGACTGCATTTTTGTAGAATAACTTTTAGGTAGGTTAATATTCTCTGTACTTTGCAAATTAAACATTACTCACTGTCAATAATTGTAACCAACCAGGTGACCATGGACAGACGGGCCCCTCCTCCTTTCCCCAATACACCAGATTATGTCAACCACTCATCAAAAGCATTGGACTACATCAATCAACCTGGGAAGACGTTACCTAAGGAGTTGGTGAGCCCTCGGTATCGTGCTTACCCACCACTGGAGATGTTCTCTTTCCCGCAATCGCCAATCGGTCAGGATGGTTCCACCAGTCAGCAGCTCCAATCAATCCCATCGCAGCGCTCTAGACCAGGGTTTTTGCGGAGAGCAGACTCATTGGTAAGCTCTACCGAACTAGCTTTGTTCCGTAGAGTCCACGAGGCCCAGCAGGAAGCCCTGCAAGAAGCTCAATACAGACAGCAAGTATGAAATGAGAATGTATTATTATTTACTATGTCATTATAAAAGCGATGTTATCCCTTCAATTGAAACAAATTTCTTTTGTGCAGCATCAGGGGGACCCTCCTCTTTATAGTCGGGCACTGGCTTATTCCACCCCCATGGACCATTCTGCCAACATGGTAGACAACCAGAGTCAAATGATGCACAACAAGAGAAATGGACGCTACGATGACGATTATCCCAGCTACCAGGAACAGAAGAAACCTATGATCGGTTATCCAACCAAGAGCTTGACTCAACGTCGCCCCCTATCTGCTAGAAGCTACAGCACTGAGACCTATGGAGCATCTCAGGTGTCTCACCTCAGTAAATATCATAAGTGTTAGCGCCACTGCATATACTGTCGTTTGATGGATAATCAAATACATTCATACTCAACATGCAGTCTGGTTCCTTGTCAGTGTCTGTTTAGCCATACAGGAGTGATATTTAAAAGGATGTGAAGTATTATAAAGTCAGTCCAATTGACTGTTACTTGACCATCAGGCACGTCCGGTGTCAGCTCGTCCCACCATGGCGGCCCTCCTGGAAAAGATGCCTCCTGACTACACTCTGGCAACCTGCCCAGAGAAACCTTCTGATGACACCATCAAAGTACGACCTGTGGTATCGCAGAAGCCTGAAGACATCACCTCCAAAATGCCCGCCGATTGGAGGCAACAGCTGCTGAGACACATCGAGGCCAAACGCCTGGATAGGGTATGTTGAAAGGATATCCACATGAATGAGAAGTCACACTTACACATACACGCACCACATACAGCGTATTGAGACCCTCTCTGTCTGTATCTATGTAAGTTCTGTTATAGACTTGGCCAGATATGCATTTGACTGCATTTGCGTGTCTACTCCACACTATCACGTCTTGTCAGCCAACCTACTGCATAGTCATAACTGTAAGCAAGAGCAGAAGAAACCATGACGTGAAATGGCACAATCCAAAATTTTGGAGACAACACTTATTCTTACAGTTAGTTCAACAATAATAACTCACTTATTTAAATGATTTACGGTGTCATTTTGAATATAGTTTGTAACCAATTTGAAAGCAATTCAAATATCATGAAAAGGGGAGCCTTGATTTTTAAATGTAGTCACTTCACTAATTATGAAAATAGTTGCGGTAGTACCATTTTCTGTAGAAAACACATATAATTGTCCTGTGGAAGTAATTGTGCTCTCATTAACACTATTATCCTGGTTTGGTCTTAACCCTTGTAATATGTTGGAAAGCTTGCCACGGTGTTTGTTATAGCAGAAATAGAACAATAAATAAATAACAATGATTATCGTATGGGGCGGCCCGGTGGTTGACTGGTTAGCGCGTCGTCGGCTTCACAGTGCAGAGGTGCAGGGTTCAATTCCGGCTCCGGCCTTCCTGTGTGGAGTTTGCATGTTCTCCCTGTGCCTGCGTGGGTTTTCTCCGGGTACTCCGGTTTCCTCCCACATTCCAAAAACATGCATGGCAGGCTGATGAACACTCTAAATTGTCCCAAGGTGTCAATGTGAGTGCGGATGGTTGTTTGTCTATGTGTGCCCTGCGTTTGGCTGGCAACCGGTTCAGGGTGTCCCCCGCCCGATGACAGCTGGTACAGGCTCCAGCACGCCCTGCGGCCCTTGTGAGGATAAGCGGGTCAGAAAATAGATGGACAGATGCATTGTGTTGAGTCATTCTATAACATGTCTCGCAAGTCATTGATACCGTTTTGACAGCTCCAAAGTGAATGTCTTTGAAATCCCCAGAAAAAAGGTTTTAATGAATCATAAAGATCGTACTCTCTGCTGAGTCTTGACTTGTCACACCACAGAAGCCTTTTTCAACCTTCAGAATTGACTTGTAATGTTTTTTTTTTTTTGTTAAAAAAAAAAAAACAATAGAAAATGCATACCTAAACATCTAACATGTTATAAAGATTTTAAGATTGTCATATTTTTTTTTACTACTGGGAATATGTTATCTGCATTACAAAAGTTCTACGCAGGCTGCACAGGAAAAAAAATTGTCAAGTGCTACTTACAGCTTCTATAGTGCACGCTGTACACAATATGATCACCACAGTGCACCACACACACATAATATATTAACCACAATCACGAATCTCCTGCCCCAAACCAGATGTCTGGTGTAGTTCAAGACTGATCTGTAAGTAACAGCGTGGTGCCACAGGGCATGCAGACTACCAGACAATGCAAAGAAGAGTATAAAGAGAAGAAATAATAGCAGCTAATAATCTGGTCACTGCATTGAATTTGGAAACTCTTCTTGCCATTTTTATGATGGTGAATGATTTGTGCGGCATGGTGTTCGACCGGTTAGCACGTCTGCCTCACAGTGCAGAGGTTGTGGGTTCGATTACGGGCCCTGGCTTGCCTGTGTGGAGTTAGCATGTTCTCCCAGTGCCGTCCACATGCCAAAAACATGCATGGTATGTTCAGTGATCACTCTAAATTGTCCCGAGGTGTGATTGTGAGTGTGAGTGGTTGTTGAGCGGATAAATGGATTAGAAAATGGATGGATGGATGAATGACTTGCAAGACATGTTATACCAGGGGTGTCAAACTCATTTTTTGTTGCGGGCCACTTCGGAGTTACGGCTTCCCTCGGAGGGCCGGTGCAAAATCTCAACGTTATTTATTACCCATGACAATTGGACATTTAGCTACAGATTTCAGCAAGAATCATGATAGTTGACACACATGATTTGCTCCCGCGGGCCACATAAAATGACGTAGGGGGCCGGATCTGGCCCCCGGGCCTTGACTTTGAAACCAGTGTGTTATACGAACACTCAACACAAAAAGTTGCTCCCCTACTTGTCAATAATCATAAGCTTGTCTCCTAATTGGCTATTGTTCCGTTTCACGTCAGAGTCACAGAGTCAGTGAATTGGCTGAACTCTGTCTTGACAACACACACAACAATTTGCAAATGTTAATCTTGACCAGGTTATATTGTTTGGATTGTCGGCACGGGCCTTTTTCTGAGCAAATCGGGGAGGAGCAAAACCCCACAAGCGACACACCCCACACCACAGGATAATCACTCAGGATGATCTGAGATAGCTGACAGTAGAGCCTTTGCTGACTTTGATCTGAAAAGGGGATGCTCCAATTCAGTCTGACTGTACAGGATGTATGTGGGCACCTTGCTTAGATAATGCCCTAAAAAGGGTATTGATCCGAGCCAGGTTTCTCCAGAGATGGGTCATTTCCACCTAATTGGACAACAAGAGAATGGGAGACATTTGTAGTAAGGAACTTGATGAGTATCCCATGCAAATAACTTTTAGGACCCACAAACAAATGTGCTTCTTGTTGGAATGACATTTTCCACCAATTGTTGCTCGTACGACACAATATTCACTGTGTGTATGATCAAACACGAGCTAACATTTTTTTGTGCTTTCAGTAACTCAGCACTATTTTTGTGTTTCTTATCAGTGTTATTGATGTGTGTCTGGAGTTCAGTGTGTCTCCTCAATGCTGCAGTGCACTCTGTGTTGGCTAAGCCTCCCATCTCTTCATTCACCCATGTCATGTGATGTTGTCTTCTCCAATCAGAGTGGTGTCCTAAAGCACAATACGCTCACGCTGGGCATGCTCTGTCAGGGCGGGGGTCACGGCCAGGGGCGCAGCAGTACTTTGAACTTTAACGTTTACAATAACGCTAAGCTTGAGCCCCCTGCTGGCCGCTGGCTGCCACTACCTCCTCCTCCTTCTGCTGTTGCTGTGAGTACCCAATGAGAACAGTGAGCCCCTGGCACTGTATTGTATGGAGATACATATGCAGTGGTACCTCTACTTACGAAATTAACTGGTTCTTGAAGAAATTTCTTAGCTAGAAAAGAGTTGCGAATTCCATGTAAATGCCAGAATTCGTTCCAAGCCCCCCCCCCCCGCTTTAGACATAAATGTTTCCTAAAGCATAAAAATGCATCAAAATATGTAATAAATACATGTTACAATGAGATTATTGCACAATAAATGAGAGCTGTGCATAATGTAGAAAAAACTAAGAATAAAGAATAAAAATAAAATAAATTTAACTTTTAACTGCATACTCGTTTTTTGCCCTCTTTAGTCAATGTTCTCTTTCAATAGTGGTTTTTGTCCGGGGTTTTGTACAGAACTGATTGAAGGACGTTTGCCTTTGTCGGCTTCTAACAATCCTTCGAAAATGTCTAAGGCAAATATCAGCATAGTGAGCAATCGCCTGACTGGTGAGCACTTTTTTTGGGTGATTCGCATTTATATAAAACTATCGGAACATCTCATGGCCCGAGGGGCTAATGACGAGGACCCTGCATAGACACATACAGTAGTCCCTCTTAGCCAATTGGATGCCAGGATGATGCTGGGTAATAGCCAATGGCAGAGCAGCTAAAGTATGTTGCATTCAGGGTACTCGGAACTGCGAGTAACAACCCATACTGTATTTTTTGCCTTTCGTATCTTGAAATTTCTTCCGTAACAAGAGGCAATATTTTCTTGTTGAGTTTCGTAACTTGAGAATTTTGTATGAAGAGACATTTGTAAATAGAGGTACCACTGTATATTAAACAAAGAATTGTCGAATTAAAGAATGAATGAATGAATAATGTGTAATATTGTTTACACCAAATGAAAATCACTTTTACAACAATGACAAAGTAGAAAGAGGTAAACATACAAGCACACACACAAAAAGCATGTTTTTCCATGTCGTAGTCAGCAGTTTGTGAGTTGTGGATCTGTATTTCATTCACTCTATGTGGATTCATGATTTTATGTTGTACAAGAATTTATTCTTTAATGCTGTATCACATCCAACTTTTATGTGAAGGACTCAATGGTGGGACAAGACGAAAGTCACAGCCACATTATCCGGTGGCCGAAAGGAGCGATCCCTGCTGCAAACACAAAAATTCTGTAAAAAAAACAACAACAAAAGAAGATGCAAAAAAGGAAAACACACACATGCAAATTGAAAACCACACAAAAAAAACCCGCTAAACAAATGCTACAAGTAACAAATCCTGCAAATGGGGGTAAGAACACAAACTAAAGAAAGAAATGTTGCAAACATTACAAACCTTAAAATAAAAGAAAAACAAAACAAAACGGGGACACCCAAACCTATCCAAAACGACGGAAAGGAAAAAAAGGAATTATGGAAGTTCACGCCACTAAACGGAAGTTTTCCGAGCCACTACGGGGAACCGCAGGAACAGTCCTGTGAGACCAGATCCTGTCCATATTCTTCCATTTACCTGTACCACTTTCCTATTTCTATCATGAAATTAGATTTACTTGCGTTAATTAGATATCATCCAAGCTTTAAAAACAAACACAGTTCAAGCCATGTAACAATGCTGCTCTACTATAATGTAAATGATAACATCCATGTGTTTTAAAAGACATGAAGTAAAACGAACTTTTCATGTTCTCCAAAAGATGGCCACTTACAGTACCTACAAATCAGGCCGTCCCGCTCAGGTTTTTCCAGAGTAGGGGTAGGCAACCCTAGAAAGTCGATCAGAAGATCTGGTCGCACAGGAATGGTCCTGCGGTGGTTCATAGTGACCTGCCAAACTTCCGTTTAATGGTGTGAACTTGCATTCATTTTCTTCTTGCCGTCGTTTATTTGAGTGGTTGTGTTTTGGATTTCCGCAGCATTTTTTGTTTTGTTTTTAGTTATTACATTTGTTTTGTGGTTTGTAATTTTTGCTTCTACTTTGTTGCTATGATTGCGCAATTTCTTACTTGAAGCGTTTTTGTTGCATGTGTGTTTTTGTTTGCATATTTTTTACAGCATTCCTGAGTTACAGCGTTTGGCCGTTTGCAGCGTGTTTGTCCCTGTCCGCCACCGTAAACATTACGACTCATACAACATTTAAATCCAAATTTGCATTACATGCATTTTTGAGATGACATGATGTATATATTTAATTTATGAAGAACACAAAAGATATATATACAGCATATATATATATATGTACTGTTATCGCTACGTGTTGGATACTCCGGGTATGTTAACGCAGGTCAACAGCAAGCCAAACTCATTTATTCATGAGCCAGGAAACTGAGCGTCTTGCTCCTTTATTACAGTCTTCTTGACGGCGTACAGTGAACAACTGTGACATCAGCTCAAT